TGATAATACATCAATCAACAACAATAGTTTTAGACGTTTCCAACCCCGATGCTTTCGCTTTCTTGACGTTGAGGTTGGTCATGTCATGATTGTCATCTACAATTCAAAGCTAAAGTTAATGTCGGGTTCATCGGGTTGTCGGATTGGTCGGGTTTTTTTGGGCCTGACCCGATTCCAACCCAATAAGGTCGGGTTGGCTAATTTTTTTTATTGATCATGCATCGGGTTACCTCGAGTTGGTTTTTTTTTTTTTAAACCGGGTTGAGTTGGTCGGGTTTTTAAGCATCCCTAATTGATGGCGTGTTAGTGGGAGGGTGGGGTGGGAATATGATGAAAGCGAGTACAAGAATTGTTTATTTATTGATTTACTAAATATATGTTTTCTTTCAAAGATTGACAACTGTGGGGTGTGAAGAAAAAGCGAACCTTTTATTTATTTATTTAAGAAAATAGTTTTTTTTTTTCTGTTTTAGAAGTGCAACGGTAACTACTAAATTTAAGAGTTAAGTTTTGGTGAGAATGAAAGTTATGGTAAAAATAATAAGAAAAAATCCTCATTTCTATATCAATGATCAATCCTAATTAAAGAGAACCACTAGATAAATTCATATTCATGGGTTGTTTATGAATTAAAAACATAATTCATTGATTGTTTTAGGATTAAAAGTGATCAATCGTTCAAATCCATTTTTACATTTCTCACTAAAATTTAAACACTTATTTAAATATTAATCATACAATTTCTTTTTGATTTATGGTACTTTTTTTAGAAAACATTAAAAATAGCGCATGTCACGGGCAGAGGTCACGAAATTTTCAAAAGAAACCCATCCCATATTTTTTATATAACAAATCTTAAATTTTTTAAAGTAGAACTTATTTTGGTATTGTAAAAACACGTTATATTCTAAATCATCATTTAACATGACATAAACATAACTTCAACAAAAGATACTGTTTTTGATTGATGTACAAATACTCCAAACTCCAGTCCCATTTTTAAGGATTTCAGAAAACGAAACTTTATATAACATTATTGCACTTTCGGTTAGGCCATTTGAGATATATTTAGTAATAAAAAGAAATATAATTTATATATGTTTTTAGATATTTATAAATTATTAACAATAATAGACATTGAATAAAGGGTTATGTTTATTTTCCCTTTTTAATATCTTTTTAGAGACACAACACATGGGAGTTAAGTTAGAAGGTACCAAGTCTTTATGGTTGCCACCGCCACTGTCTTTGCCCTTTTTTCTCCATGACAACCCCATTTCTTTCATCATACTTTTTATTTATTTTATTAATATATATTATTAACCTGTATATCCAACTCATTATGTGAATTGACTAATTTTAGAACGACCACCTACTTTGCAGATAACCCGAAGTCATCGTATTTGAACCTCTGTGGCCACAAAAGAATTTTTATTCCTCCTTAGATTTGAATTTGGGACCTCCTGGTACTTTTGATTTTTGGAGTCAAGCTTAAATCAATCAGACACCACCCTTGTGGTTTAAAATATTTTCCATATCACATATAATTATTAAAAACGTTATTTTCACCTTTTTTAAAAGCATAACATTGTAATTTGATGGTCCATAAATGACTAATGTTTCATATATTTCATCAATTAATTATTTCTGTCAAATTTTAATTAATTCGTTTCATATGATACATTAATATTATTGGTGCCAATTGCTTTTTTCCACTCGTCTTTTTGCTTCAAATGGTTGTTTTATGTAAGTTAAAATTGGACAAAGAGAATGTAATTGATTGCAAAAATATAAGTAAATAATTGGTATTCTTTTATTTACAATTAGAAAGAAAAAAAAATCATAAAGTACAATAAAAAAAAATGGAAAACCAGGTAACATGATTACTGAATTTTCATGTTTTTTTTCTAGGGGTGTACGTGGGTTGGGTTGGGTGGTTTACGCCATTTTTACAACCCAAACTAATTATAACGGTTTGAAAAAATCTTAATCTAACTCAACCCATTAAAAAATATAATCCAGCCCAACTCTTGCGGGGTGGGTTAGGTTAGCGGGTTATTAGTTACATAAACTTGACGAATGAAATAATTCATAAAACTTAAGTTTATAGATCATATTATAAAATGTCTTATTTAAAAAGGTTACAATAGATTTATATGACCATTTTGGACGTTTCAACAAGTGTTTTAGAATGATTTTTAAATAAAATATCGTATTAATTATTTTATAGAAATATTTTGAGAAGTGTCCCGTAAACTCATTTATTTATAGGACACATATGTTCACATAACAGTTTTCAAGTCGTGTCGTATAAAATAAATAATACGACACTTTATTTTAAAAGCGTCATAGAATGTGTTAGGGCGTCCAAAATCATCCTATAAACATATTATAACTCTTTTAGATAAGACATTTTTCTTGTTTTGTCCTACAAAAGTACCATATTAGGACGCTTAGACATTTTAGGTATCCTATAAGATCTAATGTTGTTGTAGCAAAATGCTATAACTAGACATTTTATTTTCACTAAAGTACAACATAAAATGATAGGTTATTTAGATTGATGGATTCCTCAACCAAATATCTATCAATATCATTTACATTCTCCGACATATCAATTTGTTATTGCTGCAAAAAGAATTTCAATAATTTTTTTCTTCTTAATTAGATTATTTGTCATCATTCTTTGATCGTGGATCTCTTTTTAAATACAATAAAAATGAAATACAAACATAATATCAATAAAAATTATATAAAATTTATACATTATTAATATATATATATATATATATATATATAAATTTATAAAAATTATATATTAGCGACGAGTTAGACAGGTTGAGCTTACACCCAACCCAATTTCAACCCTCTTAATTGACGGGTTAGCGATTTGGCAGTTTGACGGTTAAGCGAGTTGGGTATAATTGGGTTGTTAACGGGTTATGTACGTTGACAGTTTTTTGTACACCCCTACTTTTTTTCAACCGCATAACTCAATAAAAATATTTATCTATTATATATTTAAAAACATAAAACATACTAACTACATTATTTAAATTAAATTAACCGACATTAATGGTCATTTCGAGACAAAGAAAGTTGATAATATTTCAACCGTCAATAGTCATATATTATATAAGTTGATTAGAGTTGCATTAAATGACATAATGGATAGAACTGATAAAGTATAATGTTGGAATAAATAATTTTTTGTCAAATGATTTTGAAAGTTCAGTATTGTTATTATTGCACTGATATTGTTGGTACGTTATTTTCTCGAAACAAAAGGAAGACTGAACATTTTGATATTCCATAAAAATTGTTGAGTGTAAGTATGTTTGTATTGAATTAAAGATAAAGTTGAAACCGTCAAATGAATATGTTAAAAACAGTTGTCGAACAACACGTTTTTATCATATGAATGTATGATCATGAAATCAGAATTCCACATCTGATTGGCATTAAATAGCCTCCCCATCTTCCAACACTAATCATAAAGACATGATTTATTAGAGTCTTCAAAGTCATGAACCTCTTAAGAGGTTCGTGACTTTGTCACATCAGTTTTCTTTTTCTATTATATCAATTTTTTCTTTCCTATATATATTATAAACTTTTTATCCTCAATAATGTATAAACTTTTTATCCTCAATAATGAACCGGTTCGTGATTATACAATAAAAACTACAATAACAAAAATTATAATAATTAAAAACTACTTATTTAGTTAAATTTCAATAATTAAAGTTGTGGCATGTTTTTGAAATATTTACAAACAATAAAACATTTTAAAAAAATTATTTCTTTATCTATTATTAATTTACTACAAGAGTAATTGTATAATATAACGAAATATATCTCGATTTTAATTCATTGACTCTATAGATGTTATAATACAATTTTATTTGGTTTAAAAAAAACGATAATATTTTTATCTTTGAATTAAATAGAAAATCTTGAAGATATCATAAAAATTTGACAAAATATATCAATATTAGTATTAAATTAACTATTTAATTTTTTTATTTCTTTAATTTAATTTTTTTATTATAATTTACTTTAAGTTTAGTAATGAAGTAATTTAATTTTGGTTTAATACTATAATTTTTTTAAATATAATAATTGGGTATTTTGTTAGAACTAAATGATTATCTTAATATATTTTATATTTAAAATGAGATGTTTATCGTGTATGTTTATTATATTTATCTACAGTTAGTTACATGAATTCAAACATAGAGTTTTAATAAGTTTTATTTATACACAATCAACTTGTAATCTTGAATTTTAAGTAATATAAATAATTAACTGTATTTTATACATAAAAAATAATTTTTAAAATTTTTTGTTAAATATTTTATAATATAAATTACGCTTGTAAATGATTAAATATTAAGTAACCATTTTAATTTTGCAGAAAAAGGAGGTAAGAAAAAAAAACAATGGATTGGATTTGTTGAATAAAATAAACGGATAGGAAAAAGAAATCAAAGAAAAGGGAAGAAATAAAATTTTAAATATAAATAATAAATAAAATAAAATAAAATAAAAGGAGTTGGAGGAGGGGATGTGGGGCTTGTGGCCACCAAGACGTGTAATCCACCACCGTACATCAAGGATCGCGGGAGATCAAACTCATCCAACGGTTCAGAACGAATCTGTCTCCTCCTGTATCCTTCCTTACACTTCCATATTTAAGAGGTTCTCTCTGCTGCCATTTTTGCGCAAATTTCTCTCCGTCCTCGTCGCTCTCCATATCTACACCCATTTTTTGACGATTTCATCGGGTATGTTTCTTCATGTTCATCATCATTTCACTTTTTTGTTTTTGATTTTTGAGTAGATCCGTTCATTTTCTCTCGATTTTAGGTGAAATTTTACGATTTTTCTACATAATGTTGCGAATTTCGTGTATGCATGTCAGCGAAGTAGATTTCAGTGCTCATTAGAATCTAGCATTTTCATGTATCGCAAATAACTTGTAGAGCATGTCGTTGGAATTTTGTGATTATTTGTTGTTTGCTTTAGTTGATGGTCTCTGTCTGATCTCTGAATGTTGGATTTCTGGAACGACTAGCTTATATTGCATACTTCGAAATTGGTTGCGGAGTGTTGCCTGTTCTGATTTGTGCTGAATTGTTGATGATCTGGAACCGGAAAACTTGTAGCGATTTCAAGGGAGAGTGGTAATTGGCATTTCAGTAGATGTTAGGGTGGATGATGTTGATAAGATGATGGATAGTACATACAAATGAGTTCGTGCTAGAAATCGTGGTTAAGCTTTCTGTTATTTTTATTTGCCAATTACCTTAAGACCAGACTCCACTGAATATCTTTTCCATAGGCCTTGTTTCATATGTTGATTACCTATAGACCACTTGTATACTTTCACACTTTTCTGAATCACAAATTCGAGCAAAAAGATTTTTCAATGATGTACTTACACTTCCCCAACCGTTAATAATGATTTATGATTGGTAATTCAATTAAATTTGGAAAAGAAAATAATGTATGATTATGATGATACTAAATTGTGATCGATAAACATTTCTGTTCCAATTTGTAATTGAAAATTTGCAATAGACGTTCTAATCTATTTTGCCAAGTAATATATATTGCCTTTTTGGGATATTTTAAGTGGCGGTATTATGTGTCGGATTTCACTTATAAATGTTGTGGCTGATCTTGATTTCCCTCAAGTATGTCGATCACTATCCATGTTCTTGAAATTCTTGCTGACTGAAGCTGTATTTTGTTATGTAGGTAGCATAAGATGGCGGAATCAGAGGAAATTCAGCCACTTGTGTGCGATAATGGAACTGGAATGGTTAAGGTACTCATTTTAGCATGAATAGAAGTACAAATTATGTTTCAAGCTTTTGGATGTATAGTAGTCTAAACCAAGTACATCTTGTGTTACAGGCTGGTTTTGCTGGAGATGATGCTCCAAGGGCTGTGTTCCCAAGTATTGTAGGCCGTCCACGTCACACCGGTGTGATGGTTGGAATGGGCCAAAAGGATGCTTATGTTGGAGACGAGGCTCAGTCCAAGAGAGGTATTTTGACTCTAAAATACCCAATTGAGCATGGTATTGTCAGCAATTGGGATGACATGGAAAAAATATGGCATCACACCTTCTACAATGAGCTCCGTGTTGCTCCAGAAGAGCATCCAGTTCTTCTAACGGAAGCACCTTTAAATCCCAAGGCCAATCGTGAAAAGATGACCCAAATCATGTTCGAGACATTTAATACCCCTGCTATGTATGTTGCCATCCAAGCCGTGCTTTCCCTGTATGCTAGCGGCCGTACAACTGGTAAGAATCTCATGCTTCCCCATAAAATTGTGAAATGGTGCAAGTTCTTCATTTTCCTCAACTATGCATCTTTTACAATATCAATTTTTTGGTAACTGTGGGTGTCGACTGATCCCAAGGGCCCTGAAGATAATAGCCAGGAAAATCCCAGGTGGGCAGGGGCACTGAAATTGCCATTCTCATCTTTGCTGTTATTATGTTGTCTGGTGCAGGAATTGTTCTTGATTCAGGGGATGGTGTGAGTCACACAGTTCCTATTTACGAGGGTTATGCCCTTCCACATGCCATCCTTCGTTTAGACTTGGCTGGTCGGGATCTCACTGATGGCTTGATGAAGATCCTTACGGARCGTGGGTATTCTTTCACTACTACAGCAGAGCGGGAAATTGTAAGAGACATGAAGGAGAAGCTGGCTTACATTGCCCTTGACTATGAACAAGAGCTCGAGACTTCCAAGACTAATTCTGCTGTTGAGAAGAGTTACGAGCTGCCAGATGGACAAGTTATCACAATTGGTGCTGAACGTTTCCGTTGCCCAGAGGTATTGTTCCAACCATCCATGATCGGAATGGAAGCAGCTGGTATTCATGAGACCACTTACAACTCCATCATGAAGTGCGACGTGGATATTAGGAAAGACCTGTATGGAAACATCGTGCTCAGTGGTGGTTCAACAATGTTCCCCGGCATTGCTGATAGGATGAGCAAAGAGATCACCGCTTTGGCCCCTAGTAGCATGAAGATCAAAGTCGTTGCACCACCCGAAAGAAAGTACAGTGTCTGGATCGGAGGGTCCATTCTGGCATCACTCAGCACCTTCCAACAGGTTTGTTTTCTCGTCGTCTTTTTAATAGCTAAAAATCAATGAACCCCTTTTGTTGTTGTTGTCGTCGTCGGTGGTTTTTCTGATGTTTATGAATGATATGCAGATGTGGATTGCGAAGGCGGAATACGACGAGTCGGGTCCATCAATCGTGCACAGAAAGTGTTTCTAGTTTGTGCAAGTAGACGCGTTGTTTTGAAGACATTCAACATTAGTTTTTTTATATATGTTACATGTTATGTTTTATATGTTGTTTTGTTATATGTTGGGTTGAGAGTGAGCGAGACAATTGTTGTAAGTTCCACGATTCTTTCATTTGGATATTATTTTAGAAGCTATTGATTTCCATGGTTGAGACCTGAGTTTTAGATGCTGTTGGTGACACATATTATTGCATCTTCATATGTTTGAATTCCCCTGTAATCTAAGGATAAAAATTTGTTATCCACTTTTTCCATCAATCATATGAATATATGATATTATTTTATTCAATTCCTTTTTTTACCAAAAAATAATATGGTTTTACAACAATATTTAAATAATGAAATTAAGAACCAAAATGGTTGGTTCCATTATTGTGAAACAATTAAAATGCATCAGGTGGTTCCATTTCTAGCACCTTCGATGTACCCTTTCTAAAGGTAACCACATATGACGTTTATTGATTATTGAAGTTTTTAGACAATACACTCCATTTAAATATTAGAAAAAGGATCGCATCAAGGACAGATATCGCATCATTTGATTTAAATCTGGTACTCATGTTTTCGCCTCAAGTTCAAGTCTCACTGTAAAAAATGTGTTTGAGTTTAATTTATTGTATTTAAATATTATATATACTTCAAAAAAATTGTTTTTCATGAGTAATTTGTTTGATATAGTTGTATCTTACATTCTTACTTCGATCTCTCAACACTCAATGAAATAGTGGCAATAAAATATCATCTAAGATTTGACCTCACCTTTCATGTAAGGTTGACAATAAGTAAGGGTAAACCCGTTATCCGTTATGTTTAGACCTGTTGGATAAGGGTATGTATAAATAAAATCTTATCTATTTATCCACTTATCCATTACCCGTTATCCATTACGAAATATATATATATATATATATATATATATAAAGTTAAATATTAATCTTTGTTGTAATGCAATCATATATGTAGCATATCAATGTGTAATTTAAATCACTTTATATATTTATCAAGTAAAAGAGTTCATGATAGACGAGGTTAGAAAAATAAATACAATAAAAAATGTTGTTTTACAATTTTTATATTATTTTTAGAACATTATATTATAATTATATTTAGAGTAATATTAAAATTTTACTATAACAAATTAGATATAAAATAATTACTATATCTATGAGTCTATGTTTGGCTATATCTGTTTGAGGTTTTACCATTTATCCATTACCCATTTCGACTTCTTTACCCACTATTCTACTAGATAAGATATGATATGAATAATAGGTTTATGAAATGGATAATTACTCATTCTGTTACCTGCTATTTTAAATAAATTAGATAACAATATAACTCTTATTCAATCGTGTCACACATGTCATTTATTTGATAGGGAAAAATGAAAATCTGACAATCGAAAGTAATTGCACATGTATGCTGGTTAAAACAATGTGATTATTATTATTTTTAATCAAAATAAAATCATGATATTATTTAATTTTTTTTAAGTATGTGTATGAAATAAAATATGTGATAGCAACTCATGATTGTGATTTGTGACGTTGCTTTGTGATTCAGCCAAGGACTTTTGGAATATTGGGTTGCACGTTTGGAGATCTGTTTCTGCAATGGTCCCCTTTCCTTTACGTTTTTACCAAATTATTTCATCCACTTTCTTTTACATATTTATCTCTACCAACTTTTTTTCATCATATTTTTTTTTTAAATAATTACATTATATTAAAATACTAAAAATTAGATGAGCAATTAATAGAAATCGATACAAGAAAATGTGGAATTTTAAAATGTCAAGATAACCTTTTGTTAATTTAAAAAAGGTAATAAATAAAAGCGAATAATAATTTTAAAAAATATATATCTATGTTTATTATGTCATTTAGTGCTTGAACAAGAACCTTGGTTTTTTTACTATGAAATTTGTGATAAGTGATATTTTTCGTATCTTTATTTTATTTTTTTGACTTTATAATTATTAATATATATTAGAGTAAATTATATTTTTCGTTTCCGTGGTTTGCTAAACAATTGTTGATTTCGTCCTTGTGGTTTTAAAATTTTGGTTTTTATCCCTATGGTATGCAATTCGTTTCTATTTCGTCCATGAGGTTAAAAAAACACTATTTTTAAGTATAAATGACTAAAATAGAAATGAATTGTAATCATGAGGGACGAAAAAAACAATAAACTTTAAATCATAAGAACGAAAAAGATAATGAATTATAATTATAAACCATATGGATGAAAATTGTAATTTCAAAACCATAAGAACGAATATACAGATTTTCAACAAACCACAAGGACTAAAAACGTAATTTACTCTATATATTAATATAATAATTATTGATAGACGAAAAAAATCAATGGGACCTATAAAAAGTAGGTTCTTAGAAGAATTATCATTGTAGATTTTTAAGAGAGTTTTTAATTTGATAAATTGAATATAAATTGACAACAAAGAATACAAATATGTGGTTTTTATAAGAATCTCTATTAGAGATGCTCTTAGTATCAAATTGATTATTTAACTTTTGAATAATCAAATAATCTATGTTATATTATATAGCATTTGACAAAAATTCATAAAAACTATTTTTTATGCATGAAGTCCTATATATTAATGCATATTACTTAAAATTCAAGATTACAAGTAAATTATACATAAGTACAACTTATTAAAGCTCCATGTTTGAATTAGCGTAACTAACTGTGGATAAATATAATCAATTAGAGGATAAACATCTCATTTTAAAATATAAAAAATCTAAAATATAATTAGGATAATTATCGAATTCTAACAAAATAATTAATTATTATTTTTATAAGAAAATTATATTATTAAAAAAAATTGAATTAGAAAATTACACAAAAAATAGGAATTTTAAATAGTTAATTTGATACTAACATTGATATATTTTTGTCAAATTTTTATGATATCTTCAAATTTATATTTTATTCAAAAATAAAAACATTATCGTTTTTTCAAAATCATATAAGACCATACTATAACATCGATTGACATAAAGAATAAAATAAAATATTAAGATCAAGATGCATCTCGTTGCATTGCGCAAGTACCCTTCTAGTAATAATAAAAAACGGATCACTCGAACATCCCCAAGTTTGAACCCAAATACGTTCACCTTGAGACTTTCTTTTTTGAAGAAGTTTTCAATACAAACCATCTTTTTTTGTTTTCTATTAGTAATTTTAATTCATGAAAACTTGTTTTGAATATATAAATCTATAATACAAATTTCTTTTAAATTATATAATAAGTCTGATTTTAGATGCAACAAAGATCATGGATTATTCATGGGTTAGCTCAACCAGTAATAAGCCTTGAATCTTTAGAGATCATCCTTGGAGGTATTGATTCGAGTCCTACAAGTTAGATTTTTCTGATTGTTCTCCAAGACCTTGGGATTAATTGAGGTACACGTAAGTTGACCAACACCCATGATTAACAAATTAAAACAGCGATTGTGCATTAAAAAAACGATGTGTGGCACTAAATAATTACCAAAAGTTACAGACATGACTTGTTATGGAGAGAGTTTTTTTACTGGTATATGTGTTTGGTAAACAACCCCTTAGCATCAAGCCGCATAGAAACCATAGTTGTGCGTAGAATTGCATATGTAAACCGTAAACCACCTTCCATATGCAGAATCTAACACAAGTTTTAAGCCAAAAGCTTTAAGCAGGATAGATTAGCAAACTAGTATAACCGTCACCCATAAGGTCGAAAACATATGTAATCCCTCGAGTAGTCTTTCCCCGTATACAGTTTTCTTGAAAATAAAACTCCAAGAAAAAAAATAATTAAGAATTCAACAACAAATTAGGAGTACAAGTCACAAAAACACTGATCTACTTGACCTAACTTGCGTTTGAAAATAAGCATGTATGGTTACCTCGGCCAAATGATCTCTGCTTTGAATTATAATCCTCGATTACGTATTTTCCAGATACCAGCTCTGTAACCCAGAGACATGAGAGCCATTTCCCACAGCATGTTAAGGATGCTTAATGGACTCACCTTAGATCCCGGAATCTCAGACCAGGTTACAGATATCTCTATTATACGGATGCTGAAGAATTTGCTTAAATAAACTAATTCAACATCGAAGCACCACCTGCATCGAGAATTAATGTAGTTTTAGTTACACTGACAGATCTAAACAACGCCAAGAAAATTGTTGAAGTTACTAAAAACTGAGATATCTCACGAAAGAATGGCACCATTCACAAACTAGTCTTTTTGCAGAGTTTGGACACATCACAGTAGAGTTATTATAAACTTTTATAGGCAAGAATGACGGTCACACCCAAGTTGAAGCAACAATTATGATTCACAACGATAATGCCAGTGAAAGCTGATAGTATGCATGAACTCTATTCACTAATGAACATCTACCAAAACATATTCAGCAAGTTAAAGCATCACTTTCATACCTTTTCAAACGGATATTGGTAAAAAGCTTCCTTGCAGCAGCTCTAGTAAACATCTTAAAGCCACACTGCGTATTAAAATGAATTTAGCAGATCCAGATTAATAAAAAAGCAAAAGTTTGAAAATGTTTTCCAGATATACTTACCAATTTACTACACGAAATGACGAAATTATAGGGAAGAAAACAGGAACAAAAAGCTTGAAGAATATTAACCTGTGTATCACGAACCCCGGGACCAGCAGCTAGAAGGACCACCACATGGAAGCCTTTCATCAAAAAATTGCGGTACCACTTCCTCTGAAGCATAAAGAGAAATGTTTAGAAAAGAAAAAAACCCAATAAGAACAAGACAAAGAATAAACAAAGGAACTAACTGTAGCTAGAGCTTTCTTCTCTAGATGAGCACGAGAACCAAATGCCACAATAGGGATATCTGCAATTCCGTCACTTGAATCTCCAGCAGTCTGATGTTCCATTTTGGCAACTGCAAGTATCTAAGAGGGAAAACATCAATTGCTATTTACAGATACCCTGATGTTTGATAGACTGCTACAGACACCAACCTGATTTTCAAGCTTTTCTAGGTCATCAATTTTGGTTGCTCCATCGGCATCTAGCATCAGAAGTAGTTTTCCCCGTGAATGAAGCATCCCCTGTTTTACAATGCTTTCGCAGAAGCAAGGAGCTTTGATCAGTTTTCATGAGTTGTGACAAATGAAGGACATTAGAAGGACTAAACACATCATGAAGATGAACATCAATTCAACAAATCATATTGATTTGACTCACTTTTCTTATAGCTTCTCCTTTTCCCTGATTCTTTCCAAGAAGAACTACTCTAACATTGTCTACTTTATACTTCCTCACAAAGTCAAAAGCTACTCTTCTTGTTCCATCAGAACTTCCATCATCAACAATTATCACCTGTTCAAGGATCAATCTGTTTTAAAATTTCAAAGGTGACAAGCTTGAATGCAAGATACGATATCCAAACAATGCTTTCTAAAAGAAGCTTTATAGTACAGCAAGATCATCTATAAAAACATATTCTTCAAGACTGTTAGTTGACAGGTAAAAAGTGCTAAAATGTGTATGTTAATTCTCCCAAGACATTGTGAAGTTGCAGATATGAGCACAAACGGATGAGATAAGAAGCTTGAGAGGGATGTCCAAAACTGAGTATATAGATAAACAGAAACCATAAATAGAATCGTTCACATATATCAGAATAAAAATCCATGCTGGATCCAATATAGATGTTTAAGTAGATAGGCACAAGTATGACATCTGCAATTAAATAATTCTTGATTTCCATAAATTACTAAAAAAGACTATTTCTAATGAGATGCCTAATGTCTTTTATTACTCATTCCCCTCAAAATTATTCTTTAAATTCGACCAACCATACGTTTTTAGATGTACATATCAATGCTTCTTCAACAACTGTTACTCAAAGCCATTATAGTGAATTCAGACCATAAAAATGACTAGGGAACAGGACATTATCAAGTATATTCTTTACCAATATTCCAAAATGTGAAACAGAGATGTTATGTAACATCCTGTAGATACAGGTTAGAATATTTCCAGGACAGCAAGAGTGTCAATGATCTACTTCTATACATTTCAGTCAGCTACCTTGCAGGAATTTTGCATTCGATTTCTACAATGAGTAAACATACACATACTGTGTTTTATCAACCATGGAATACTAGTATCGCAATGCATTACTCGTTTTTAACATAATAGATCATCACCCTCAGGTCTTGGCCAAATATTTGTTTCACATGTTAGTTCCTAGTTCCTACTAAATACCTGTCAAAGTCATTTGCAGAGTTATCTTACTTTCTATTTCCTAAGCTTTCAATGTGAAAATTAAAACCAAGAAGTTCGCCAGCAATTTTGCCTGATAAGATGATATTCAATTTTGAAGTTGAAAATTCTACCTTACAAAAAAAGGGCTTGTACGTGATGATAACCAAGCATCAAGTGAACATCAAACATTGATTTGATTACAAAAGATCTAAAAGATACCTCATATGAAAATGATTGGTCCTTTCTTGCACGTTCTTCAAGATAACTACACATGAAGATCCGAAACTATGATCAAGTGTATATACAACAATTTTGCAAGTGCATCTAAGACAACTTACTTTAATTCAACCAAACAAGCAAAATTGCAAGGTATGTCATTTACTATGTACAATCATAATAAGATTGTTTATCTCCAGCTGATGACAAGGGAAGGAGTATATACTAATAAAGCATCGTAAAGCAACTTTGAACATCAAGACCGAAGAGAGAGCTTTGGAGGCAACAAATATCAATTGAACTTTCAATAAAGCTACAGAAGCTTCTGAAATAATGCTGCTACCATTTCAGAAGCATTGAAAGAGCAAAGATGATGAAAATGAAATCTTCTTTACGTTTGCAATTAGTCAGGACTACTGCATAATCTACAATTTGACGAGCTTTAGTGTACTATTCTCTCAAACCAACTATGCTTTATCAGCAGTTAAATTTGTAATTTGAACCGAAGATTCATCCTAACATACAGCAAAAGGGTGATGCCTTTACTCACTTCATTGTCTCATCAAGAGCTACAGGCAATCTGCACTCTTCGTTGTATGCAGGAACGATCAATGAAATATATTTTTCTGCAGGATCATATATATAAGGACACTTGACCTGCAACAAATGCCTCAAATACAGTTAGTATTCAGTATTCACCACCAATTTAAGAAAAACAAGTATAGCAATGATTTATTAATGAAATTGAGGCATTCACGAAAGGATTTTTGAGTTTCTTATGTTGGTTTTGGCGGATGACATTTCATACACTGGCATACTTACCTTGGTGAACAAGAACCATGTTTCTTTACTTGGGGTCTTGCCACACTCCATCTATGGTGATGTTAATAGTTTATAGCTCATGCCCATCAAAATCTCAAACCTAATTCACTCTATAATTCAAAATTGACAGCAATTCTGGCACAGAAAACTAGACTATCTGAAACGGATGATGTACACTCCTAGTTCATATGATCAAAATCTCTAACATGAATTGCAAACAAGAAGATCCAAGACAAAAATCAGTCCCAAAAAGAGCTTTGGAAGAAATTTGTTAGAAGTCACGCGGGTCAGCATTTAAAGAGAGACAGACACTTGAATTATAGTACATTATTAGATCCCACTAGAGGTCTTTAAGCGTCATAAACCTAAGAACTCATGAGCAAGTAGAAACTCTTCTCCATGGTTCCAAGTAGCATCAGTGTAAAACTTCTAAAAGTTAAAACCACCAAGTTTAATACTTGAAATGTCAGCACTTCCGATTATCAGATAAAGCTCATGATTCGTTTGGCACTAAGGAATTCCTTTTAGGGATAACTGAAGTGGCAACCAACAGGCTAGTTATGATATACATTAGGCAATTTAAGTCAACAAAAATCAAATATGTTGGCTTCAGAAGATCAAAAAATATTAGAACTATAGAAATAACCCTTCATCATAACAGAAGGTTCTGAAACACTAAATTGCGTTACAATAGTCCAATGAGATATAGATGCGTGACAATCAGTAAGAGGTATGACAATAAGGTAAAAACGTACCTGTTTCAAAGAATTTGGATCTTCGAAGATCGGGTGAGCTTCAAGATGACTGTCAGAAGAAAATCATCATCAGGGACATATAAACAAACATTCAAATCAATCTCAGAGTAAAATTAGGGTTTCAGAAGAAAAAAAAATACCTGTGGTTAAATCTTCTTCTAAATGTTTCAATAACAAGGGTAACTACTAAACCTAACCCAAAAATTATAGCTAACATTACTGTCAGTTGAAGCATCGTCGACCATCCCCATATTTCCATGTTTCCCTTCAGGATCAGACGACGACACAACCAATCAAAAACTCCACTCCACAAAATTTTCCTCTTCTGGCACTAAAATACACATTACAGACGAAATTTTCGAGACGTATTTATTAAATAGATCCTGTGCAGAAAAAACATCAGCCCGTCTAGCTCAGTTGGTAGAGCGCAAGGCTCTTAACCTTGTGGTCGTGGGTTCGAGCCCCACGGTGGGCGTATGCTTTTCGTTTTTGAATTCAAGACAAATTTTTGCCTCGCCATGGTCGTGGGCTTCGTTTGGGGCTCAGATACTGTCTGGACCGGCTTTGAAATGCCTATAATGTGTAATCAATGCGGACTTGGTTAAGTATCGAGTTTTTTTTTAATTTATTAATCGAGTATCAGCTAATTATAATTGGTATATAAAATCTTATATTATGCACCAACCAATTTAACTGGCATTAAATTTTTTCGGTTGAATCGGTTTTATACCAAATTCAAGTTATATATACGAAAACTTGTTGTTACGTTCAAATTTTGAGTGACTATTTGAGTTTTAGGTAACACATGAACGAAATAAAACTTGCAAATATTCAAATGTTAAAGCTACAAAGGTTAATATTCAATATATATAAAAATTCAAAAACTATAAATAATTAAATAAGTCGGTACAATGGTATTACTGTGGTACACAATTTCCAATAACGTGTATCAACCAAGTTTGTATATTTTGTTCGGTACTACCAACCGATTACAATTGGTAACAATTTAATTGATACAATTAGTACACATGTTGGTTGGTTTGTTTTTGTATAAAATGGTTACCCCTACTTTAAAGTGCCGATTTACCGGTGAAATTAATTTATGGTGTTGGTTGGTGTACTACATAGCAAGAACATAATTAATGCATGTTTAGAAGTGCTCATTGTAATAAAACAGATCGTGCAAGTACAATATGTTTGATAGTGAATGACAAGATTATGATACTTAAGGTGGATAGTGTGGCTCGTATAACAACAATCTTGGGTGCGTGAGCTCTACCCATTTCACGGCATGCAAATGGGAACCAAAATACAAGCAATTTAGGCTAAGGATGCAATCGAGGGTACAGCCAAATGGAAGACTGAACTCGACTAAGGCTAAAGACCATGCTGACCAGTGCAAGCGGTCAAAAGGAAACAGGAGATGCAGATGGCTAGAGTGGAAGTATTGTACCCTTTTTAGTGATGCCAATGTCTTATTTTGTATGGTTTTGATGCATGTAAATGTCTTTCATTGCTTTAGTTGTTGATGGTGTGGTACTAAGTACGGGTGTTCATCCAAACCGCACTGCACCGCAAAAAGCGCGGTTAAGAACTTTCATGGTGCGGTTTGTGGTTTGCGTTTTTACCAAACTGTATTACGCGGTAGTGTTTGTGATTTTGAGTTATTAAACTGCGGTTCAAATCGCATTGTACCGTATATTTTATATATTTAATATAACACACACACACACACACACACACACACATATATATATATATATATATATAGAATAATTAATTATTTCTGTAATACTTTTGGACTTTGTATTTTGAACTTTGAGTTTGATTCAATATGTCAATTGGTAATCTTAATAAATTAGTTGGACATGTCACAATTCACACGTCCGATTTAATTTGAAGTTTATTTTTTTTTTACTTCTTAGACTATTTTTATTTATACGATATGTATTTGGGAATTGGGTTTACAGAAACTCTTTATTTTTCTGGACTACGTTCACTTTATCGTTAATTTTATGATGTATTTTTAATCTTATATAATTGATTGTAGACATAAAGTGCGATAGATACAAACTATATAAACCACACCGTATTTTGCAATGCCGTTTGGTACGGTTTGAAGTTTGAAAAAAACCTCAAACCACATATGCGATACGGTTTACAGTTTGGGTTATAATGCTTGTAAACTATGAATACCCCTACGAGAATGCACGTTTGGTATGACAATGGGCAATGGTCAATGGTTGTATGTTTTAAATTATTGATCATACAACACAAGAAAGCAACGTGTACTTGAAAGTTTTAGTGTTTTCTTGCGATTAAAAATTAAAAATTACGAAATTAGAAACAAATATCGTCTAAAAACAAACATAAGTTTATAACCTTGAAATAGAAAGAGCGGAATCAAGTCATCAACACATTTCACAATAACTACTCCACATTAAATAACTAATAATTAATCATTTATGTGTATAGTTGACATATTTATTGTGTCAATCATGCAATTGGTAATTTTTACGTATTCAAATATACTTCGTACATGTTTGTACTTGAGGGACATAATGTAACGTCATGTCAACTTTGTAAGGTCGTTTTTTATCGTTTGGAAGTATGCATGGTAAGCAAAAAATAATTGAACATCCGTTATCCCTAGGAACGTTGCGAGCTTTTAAGCAAAAAAATAATTGAAGATACGTTATCTCAAGAATGCTACGAGTTTTTATCATCAACCAACAACCAACAAATAATTTTAACATTTCAGAAAAAGAAAAATCATAAATATAAGGGGGTGTTTGGGATTTGCTTATTTGAAATAACTTATGTTTTTCTATAAATGTGTCTATCAACTTATTATAAGTTAGAATGCTCTAACTTTTTTAAAAACTCCTTATTACCAGTTTGGCACCGGTATAAGTTGTTTATCCAAACATTCAAAAATACTTATTACTGATGTTACATCAAAATAAGTTAATAAATTGTTTTTTATAAGCAATCATAAACACCCTTAGAAATGAAAGAAAAATAAATAAAGGGAACAGACGTCAGAGTGAAAGTTGTCGTCGTGCCTTGGGATTCTGCCGACGGTTTTATTATGCGCAACTCGCAGTGCCAGAGATTACCCATGCCATGAACCATTTTCCCATAAATTAAAGTTTAAAATATCACATTATTTATAGAGTAAATTATCAGTTTTGGTCCCTGTTCTTTTATCAAAGTAACATTTTACTATAAAAATGGCCATCGTTTTCTCTTTTAACACTTGTAAGAAAAAATGACCGTTTATCAAACCTGGATTTTTTTTTATTAAGCTGAATATCCAAACCCGTTATGTGAACCGACTAATTTCAGGACGACCACCTGTTTTGCAGATAGCCCGAAATCACCGCATTTGAACATCCGTGGCCACAAGATTGATATTTTTGACCTTTGAAGCCAAGTTCAAATTAATCAGACACCATCTTGAAGTTCAAACCTGGAAATTTTATAAACCATCAAGATTATCTTTAAAACTAATTGCAATGCAATAACTGTAAGTGTTATATATTAGTAAAAAATAAGTATAAATTAAAAAACTAATTAACAAACGAAATTGTAAACTTCGACAAGATTTATCAAGAAAAAACCGCCGGAAACTTGCGTCATAGAGATGGCCAAAGGGTTTGTCGGTTTAGCAATTTTTGCTTTTTTGAGCTTCAACACTTGAAAAAAATAAACGACTGTAACCGAGGGAAACCGCATAGAAATTACCGAGAGAAATCGTATAGAAATGAGCGTATGGTACGATTAATGTCACACCCAATTTATTGATCCCAAGTTACATTAAACAGATTGCAAAAATATAGAATCCCACAAAAATTTAATCAAAAAATTAATTCCCCCCAAGATTAATTCAAGAAAATATGAACTTGCAGTCATGAAAAGTAAAGACATGATGAAGAAGAAGAAGAAGAAGAAGAAGAAGAAATGGTGGTATTATGGTGATTTCACAAGGCTAGTGAGCCATGGCAGCAGGGGGAGCGAAGCTAATGCTTCTCTGGTTAGGCATGGCGAGCATGGAGGTATGATCCAAGAAATCATTCAACGCCACCACGTATTCCAAAATTACCCTCAGATCATCTGCACATGAAAACCCTAGGTTCCCAGTTCGTCTCACGGCATAAACGTAAAAAGTTATGCATCCTTTTCTGAACTTGAACCGGGACATCTCACAGCCGGTGAGTCCTCTGATCAGTTTCCGGTTCACTTCCCCTAAGGGTAACTCCGCCGGCCACAGCCGGTCCAGGGCCACCTTCATTTTTTCCGATTCGAACACGAACAAGACCACCTTGGATTTCTTGGTGCCGAGGCCGAGGGTGAGGGTGTGCCATGCATGGTGGGCGAGTATGGTGAAGTTTGTGGGGAGGAAGGCGGTGGTGGAGGGGAAGACGGATGGGGTTTTGTTTTGGGTGGCGATTGGTGGTGGGAGAGAAAGGAGGCGGAGGAGTTCGAGGGAGCGAGCACGGCGGATGGTGAAGGATTTGACGATGAATTGGCCGCCGAAACGGAGACCTTTGACTTCCGATGAGGGTTTGAAAGAGTAATCCGAGGAGGATTGGTCATTTGGGTGCTTATGCTTTTGCTTCTTTTTCTTGTTCTTGTTGTTTTCTTTTTCATCCATAGATGAATGAATGTGGTGGTGGTTGGTGAGTGGCGGTGGCGGTGGCGGTGGTGGGTGAAAGAAATAGAGAGAGGTTGGTGGGATGGGTTTTTTCTTTGGTGGATGTGAAGATGATTTGTGATAACAAACCAATCCAAAGCTTTTTCTGTTTTTTCAAGTAAAAAAGTACACTTTTCTACGAATTCCACTTCTTAATCACTTATTTAATTTTTTAATATTTTTGTTTATACAAATATGGAAACACATTTTTTTTACATATATATATATGGTTAATCGTATAATATAATAAGATAT